GGTTTTGGGTTCGGGGCTTTCGGCTTCAAGCATGGGTTAGGACTCTTTAAGATGAAGGAATGGTCTGGCCCAGGGATGGAATCCATGTGAGTCATTGTCTCAGGTCCTCCCTTTAACAACCCCTGTAATACTCCCCTATATGGAGGATTGTCAAAATTATGGTCCCTTTTTGGGTCTCTATTATAATACGGGGCCTAATACGGGGCCTAATTTAGGGGACCCAACAAGGGACCATAATTTTGACAATCCCCCATATAATCCGTATGTAACCCCCCTTGAAGGAGTTTCGACTTTACCTCATGTCAAAGTTTCAATCAACGCTATGGAGTCTGTTGGATGTCTCGTAAGGGAGTCGAAGGGGGATTCTAGAAATGAGGGCTTCAATATGGACCCAGCATACTATGGGCTATAATCCTTATTTTGGGGACTCCCAAATAAGGCCCCAAAATTTGGAAACCCTCCAGTTGGAATGGAGGCTTTAGACTGCCTTGAACCAGTGCCCCAAAATCTTCCCAGCTCATGAAAACTGGCTTGCTGATACTGTCCTAGTGGTGTATAACTTGTTTGATTTCGATGCTGCTCCACCCTACAACTCCAAACTTGTATCTGTCTTTCTGCTGTACAGTTAGTACGGGTCCTTAACCTGACGGCTGCAGGGTTTGGCAAGACTGAAAATCTTGCAGCTGGACTCCTGACAAAGACCAGAAGAGCATGTGCTGCTTCCGGCATAAGGACGGTCAGAAAGGATGCCAGTTGTTGAAATCCTGTTGGACGCTTCATCTCCTGATCGTTCTTGTTGTAAACTCCGACATCTACTCAAGCCACATGCCCATGCAGCTACACTTCTCTAGGAACTTAGCATATGAGTTTGCAAGTAAGGCAGAAGCACCCTCAAAAACTGATGTAATCCCAATCTGATCCTAGCATCATTGTAGGGTCCTTACATCCTGCATTCCAAGCCCCAAAACCATTCAACCTCTCCGTATCCACAACCTTCAACCTGCCAGAGGCCTTGAGCCTGCACCTTCCCAACACCAAGTCCCCGATATACACATATTGGGTTTAGGGTTTAGGGTTTAGGGATAACAAGCCTTGATGTTCTTTACTCGGGGCCCCTTACCGAAGAATGTACACGGTAATTCTTAACGGGTGCCTTGTAACCCCAAAGAGAACAATCCTCATTAGTCTTGAGGGTTTAGGGAGTACGGCTAGCAAATTTCCAGAAACCTTCCAAATACTTTGGGACCCCCACCGCACTCCCCGTGCCAATCCGAGCAGCTCATGTCTCTGTCGGTAGCCCTCCTCCGCGCTCTGCTGTGGCTTCGGCTTCCGGTTGTAGAAGGCTAAGTCCGCTGGCCTACCATTCCTTAACTGCGCGGCTTTGGTTTCAGGATGGGGTGAGTACTTCCCGGTGATAAACTCTACAAAAGCCAAAAAGGGGTTGGAGTTTAGGGTTTAGGGTAGAGGCGCTCCAAAACATGACCAAGCCTCAAATAGCGCGGGATGTACCACATCCTTGGCAGAGGTCAGCAGAATTGGTGCTTTGGGGTCAGTGAGGGGGAAGGGTTGGGGTATACTAATTTCAAGATATTCAGGGTTCTGAGGTGTAATATACGGGCTGAGAAGTTTGGTAGAGAAGGGCTACGCTTGCCGGACGGGACGTATATTATCATGTATAAGTGGCTGGGGCGATAGATATGTATCCCAACAAGATCGATCCCGGCCTTTATCAGAACATCTTACATCCTTGAACCTGACAGCCGTAAACATCACGGTTCAAGGATAAGGGTTTAAGGGTTATTATGGCTCTGTGTAGCCAAACCCTAGACCGCATCGCATCCTCGAACCCAAAAAGAAGGGAATCAAAAGTCTCCGGGGACTTTCAAAAAAATACGGGCCTCTTCAATCACCCCAGGATGCTGGACGCCTTTTACAAGAACCATACAGATCCCTACCTCATACGGCTTTTAATTACAATTTAAGCTGGTTCCTAACACTTTAGACAACAGACCTTAAAGAATATGTTCAGGGAACTTCTAGCATCATCTGAGCGTCGGCGCACCGCAGGCCACGGTAACAGAGGTCGCAGCTTTTGCCAGATCGACGGCGATGTCAGCTCCGCTGAACGCGGAACCGACGACTACGACCCTCCTGTCCATAGCGAAGAACCAGCAAAAGTGAAGCTGGGATGTAAGGTTGCAGATGCCTCTTTGGGGGTCGTATTTGGGATTGAGTCCAATGAAAATTAAGGATCCATCGCTTACAGCTTTCGGTTAAGGCACAGGCCACGAGTATGCGCGAATGCCTCCCTCAAACTAACGTGCACGCACGAAAAGGCTCTAGTAAGGCTGCTGCATCCGGGAAGCTTCGTAAACCCTAAACCCTAAACTCTAAACCCCAAACCCTAAACTCTAAACCCTAAACCCTAAACCCTAAACCTCGCTAACATGTTGCCATCCATAGACCTCTATGCTGATGGAACTTTGGCCTTGTTACTGCGGCAGCTCCTCTATTCCCAGAGAGCCCAAGACGTCTTGATTGAGGGATATACCGTAAAGGAATGTAAAGGATACTAGGAACTCTAAGATGACTCGAGGAATATTCCTAGTTGATTAAGGGGTATTGGGCTCCATGGCTTCATATTCCAGATCCCAGCGTCCTACTGTAATGCGTCATCCAGAGGAAGGGCACTTGGTAGTTTCCCTAAATAGGGGACCCCAATACAGTCCCCCAGGCATTACAATCCTTATTACGAGGGCCCCCAAAATGGTACCCCTTATTTTGGGAAACCCGACGTAATGTAAGGCGTTGAGGTCGACCTTTCCGCATTAATGGCGCAAAACAAAATCCAGAAGCACAAATGACATGGAATACTAACGCGCCCTCACCGCCAAAACACGCCTGTTAAATGTAGAGGCCGAAAGAGAACAATGTCATGTTGATTCGCAGTTTAGTTCATTACCCCATACTATAACTATGCAGGGAACCGGGAAACACAATATTGGGGCCCCTGTATCTCTTGGACCTGAGACGGCTTTAAATTCCCAAACACGTACTCGGAGGGTCAGGGGGGCTTAGTAAGTTCATAACCCCATGATCCGTATAATGACCCCAACTATCCCCTATATTCACCTACTTACTAAGCCCCCCTGACCCTCCAAGTACGCCCTGCCCGATACCCCACATTTCAGGAAATTGCAAGACTGGAGCGCCTTTTCCAACCCTGGGAAGATATGGGCAGCTCCCGAAATTGTGGGCCCTTTTGGTTGCTGGTTTTATTACGGCACCTAGTATTTGGGGTATCAAAACAGGACCCTAATTTTGGGAGCCACCCATATGGGGAGTATGAAAAGAATAAGAAGTTCTGCACCAGAATTGTATAGGGCTAGAATTCTATCAGGACATGTGAAAGCGCATGTCCATCTGTTACTCCCGCTCTTGCATTCCAGAAACTAAGCCGCAGAAGCCTAAACCCTCACAACTCAACCTATTGTAGGGGCCTAGATTGTTACCCATTTCATGTTCAAGTCGGTTTGCGGAACCTCACAAGAAATTTACCATACAACATGGTGATCACCCCTAACTATAAACCCCTGCTTAAGCACAGTTTCCATCTCATCTTCCATGTTCCTTTCCATTG